GTCTCGAACTCCTGGACTCAGGAAATCCTCCTGCCTTTGCCTCTCAAAGTGCTGGAATTACAGGCATGAACCGCTGCACCTGACTCAGTATAATTCTATTAGGAAGATGGTAGGGGAAGTGGACAAGAAGGGAATGAATGCACAATTGGGGTATGGGGTGAAAGAGAAAAATCCTCATTTTCCATAGGAAAAGGTTGACAGAAAAGGTCTAAAACTGAAAATCAAAAGGCAGGCCAGGGGCAGAAGCTTATGCCTGTAATCCCAGCACTTTGGGACGTCAAGGCAAGAGGATTGCTTGAGTCCAGGAGGTCAAGACCAGCCTGGGCAACATAGTGAGACCTAGTTTCTATAAAAAAAATTAAAAATTAGTCAGGCACGGTGGCTCACACCTATAATCCCAGCACTTTGGGAGGCTGAGGTGAGAGGATTGCCTGAGCTCACGGGTTCGAGCCCAGCCTGGGCAACTTGGTAAGACCTCATCTCTACAATAAGTCAAAAAATTAGCCAAGCGTGGTGGTGCATGCCTGTGGCTCCAGCCACTTGGAAGGCTAAGGCAGAAGGATTACCTGAGTCCAGCAGGTGGAGGCTGCAGTGGTGGTGAGCGTGCCACTGCACTCCAGTCTGGAGTGTGACAGAGTGAGACTCTGACTCAAAAAAAATAAATAAATAAAAGAAGAGGAAGAGGTAGTCATGTATTCATGTTATTTAGAGGTATGAATTAATGTCTCAAGGGATCCAACTAAGAGTCAAAAATGGTGGTCTAGGGAGTAAGAAAAGCTTGGGGCTCGGTAGGGGTTTGCTTTTTTCCCCTAACATGTCTTGTAGAATTCTTTTAGCCTTTAAACTCTCTGTGTGTACCACTCTGAAAAAAGTTAAAAAGTTTTACTAAAAAATAAAAGTTTTTACCCCTCCCCTCAAGAAAATTACAGAGCCGGGCTCGGTGGCTCAGCCTGTAATCCCACACCTTTGGGAGGCCGAGGTGAGTGGATTGCCTGAGCCCGCGGGTTCGAGATCCTCCTGGGCAGGGGCAAATTGGCGAGACCTCATCTCTACAATAAATCAAAAAAATCAGCTGGGCGTGGTAGCGTGCGCCTATAATTCCGGCTACTCGGAAGGCTGAGGCGGAAGGATTGCCCAGAGCCCAGCAGGTCGAGGCTGCGGTGGCTGGGAGCGGCCACTGCACTCCGGTCTGGGTGACAGTGAGACTCCTACTCAAAAAAAAAAACAAGAAAAAAGAAAATTACAGATCCAATTTTGCTTAGGACTTAGGAACCCTCAAGGACTGCATAGAGGTTAGGGATGCCCGAACTAGCTAGGCTCTCCAGAAGCAGGGACATCCGATGGTTCCTCTCCAGCACCATGGCCACCCTCAGCCACCCTCCTCTCCACAGCATCTTAGGAGAGATTGTAAGTTTCAGGAGTAGGGTTTTCCGAACATAATTCACATGGCCTTTCAGGGAGTATCTCGTACTGTGCCCAGAGTTGTCATACGATAAAGTGTCATAGACCAACACACATTCCAGGTATGTAAGTAGATACCCACAGTGCAAATATGCGACTTGGTTTTGTACCCTGTGCTGCAGACGAATTGACAGCGTAATCAGAGTGACAGTTACCCAAATTAAGGGTTGTTTTGGACACAAAGGCAGATGCTCTCTGAACCGCCCCCAAATGCGGCATCTTGGGTCTGAGTTCCACAGTTTAGATCACTGTGAAATTGAATGGCCTGACTCGGTGTCTTCTAACCACCTCTCCCCCCATTGGCCACTGAATCTGTTCTTTTCTATTAATCTAAACTTGCCACTAGCTGACCCAGGCAAGAAACTGAGGGGGTTCTGGACAAGAAACTACCATTTGGTCCTGAAGTGAACCTTCTTCATACTTGTATAACACTTGTATTTTTTAAATAAGCAACCTGTAAAAAGAACCAGAAGCTATGGTTTTTAATAAAAAGTAATTTTGAAGCTGTATCATAAGTGATGTGAACAGATTTTAAGCCCAAGTGACAGTGTCAAGAAACCTTTTAGCTTTGAATCAGCGTAATTTGTTTTGCTGGAAAGAACCACAGGAAGGGTTTTTGGTTTCATTTATCTTTAATCAACTCAAAGCCTATTTCTATGTTAACAGTACTTTAAAACTCCTCTTGAAATCCCTGGATTTCACGAGAAGGGACTCAGTAACAACCAACCTCCAAATTCAATGAGTAGCACGGCAAGTCATACAACCAAGCTTGGCTTTTTTTTTTTTTTTTTTTTTTACTGAGTCAGAGTCTCACTCTGTCGCCCCCACTAGAGTGCAGTGGCATGCCCACAGCCACTGCAGCCTTGATCAGCTGGGCTCAGGTGATCCTTTTGCCTCAACCTTCCAAGTAGCTGGACTCATAGGCACATGCCACCACGCTCGCCTGAGTTTTTGATTTATTGTAGAGATGAAGTCTTGCCAAGTTGCCCAGGCTGGTTTCAAACCCCTGATCTCAGGCAATCCTCTCACCTTGGCCTCCCAAAGTGCTGGGATTACAGGCGTGAGCCATCCCGCCCAGCTCCAGGCTTCGCTTTTTATCAGGTTTGTGTGCGTGGCTGCAGTTTCAGGGGAATTTCAGTAGCGTGTGCTGCAATGGTGAGTGCCATTGGTTGTCCTACATTTTGCCTGGATCTGGCTTCCTGGCCCAAGATTAGCTTTGAGGGTGTAGCTCAATGACCAAGGACAGACAGGGGCTGAGCAGGCACATTACACATCTGTAGCTACACAGTCTTCTTGGAGTACTTTCAAGTTCATTCCCAACAGACAACATAGGTTGCCAACAGTGCTAGACCCTCTCAGCCACGTGGGAGGTTGAAAGAAACTTCAAAGAACCATTAGTTTGAGATCTGAAGATGCCAGTATTCCCGTGGCAGGATGACTTACTCTAAAATGCTGCTCTGTTAAACACTGTCCTTCTGGTTCTTTTAAAAACTGTTCATGAGGAAGAATGTTCCTGAACTGATTCACAGATGCTTACACAATACTCAGAATCATTACACTGAAGAGTCTTAATTTCTCTCTCTCACATACATACTTCACTCAAAGTATGCTGAAGAGGAACAAGAATTCAAGGACTCAAAGTCCCCCTGTTAAAGTATCTGTTGTGCTACTCATTGAATTTGGAGGTTGGTTGTTACTGAGTCATTTCTCCATACCAGGGATTAAATATTTGTCAAGTGGTTAGCTTTTGGGTGAATGTCCCATGCTAGGTACAAAGGGGTCCTTTCCTCTCCTTCTGCTATCATCTGAAATACCCCAGTCAGGAGATGTAGTATTTGAAGTGAAAATTCTGATGACAAAGAGTATGACATTTTATCTACCAAAGGATCACAGTGTGATGTTTTCACTCTCAACAGTGTGAAGTATTGTCTAGCAATGAAGAGGGTTAAGATATGACTCACGAAAATGTACTTCAGTACTTCTCTCCCCCTTTAAATCAGTATTTCCACCAGGCACAGTGGCTCATGCCTATAATTCCAGCACTTCGGGAAGCTGAGGTGAGACAATTGCCTGAGCCCACGTGTTCAAGACCAGCCTGGGCAACTTGGCAAGACTTCATCTCTACAATAAATCAACAAAAATTAGCCGGGCACGATGGCACATGCCTATAATTCCAGCTACGTAGAAGGCTGAGGTGGAAGATCACCTGAGCCTAGCAGGTGGAGGCTGAGGTGGCTGTGAGCAATGCCACTGCACTCCAGCCTGGGCGACAGAGTGAAACTCCAACTCAAAAACAAACAAACAAACAAATAAATAAATCAGTCATTCCTTCAGCTTGGCAGATTAATGGCCCAAGGTGAGGCCAAAGATTATGACATTCATTGGTCAATGAATTTCAAAACAGGCCCTTCCATGTGTCTCTGATGGATCGATCTAGCAGAGTTTACCTAGGGTCACGCGTAATTCCAAGTATCCAGGAACAAACAAGACCACCAGGCTCTCTAAACATGCCTCAAAATGCATGTCATTCTTCCCCATGTTTGAAAGAAAACTGAGAAAGAAGCAAATTCATTTGTTCTTTCTTCACTGTACTACCAACACCCCTTGCTGGGCCTGCATTCTGTGTGAGTGTCAGAGCAGGTTCTTTCTTCGGGCTAGTGTGTTTCAACCTTGGGATGGCTGGGGAAGGGACATCAGAATTTTGGAGACTGGGAGAGTAGCTGGAAAACAAAGTGCTTTGCTTCACTGTTTTTATTTCTTTTCAATTCGTGAAAAGATTTTTTTTTTTTTTTTGAGTTGGAGTCTCACTCTGTCGCCCAGACTGGAGGCTCCGGCGATCCTTCCACCTCAGCCTTCCAAGTAGCTGGAACTACAGGCGCATGCTACCACACCCGGCTCATTTTTTGATTTATTGTAGAGATGAGGTCTCGCCAAGTTGCCCAGGTGGGTCTCGAGCCCGTGGGCTCAGGCAATCCACTCACCTCAGCCTCCCAAGGTGTGGGATTACAGGCTGAACCACCGAGCTCAGTTGTGAAAAGATATTTTGAAAATTTAACTTTGCAGAAAGAGATGAAAAGTTTATGCTTATCAAAGATGACATGGTATGAGTTTTAAAAAGGTTGAGAAAATCTGGTTGAAGTCATTGACTGGGGACTCTGGTCGACAACACTCAATGCCTTAGCAGATGAAGGAATACATCTTAGCTTCCTTCCCCACTTCCTCCCATGTATGTGTCTTTGGCTTTGAACGAATGGTTTATATTACCAGATTGTCTACATTAACTTTCTTTAAACTCTAACAGCAACATAGCTTTATGAGAAGCTAAACATCACCAACATCACAACCACAATGAACATAAATAGGTTAAGCATTCCTTTTCTACCACCGTTTAAAGCAAATTATATTTTTGCAAATTCCAGTTTATGCCAAATCCGTAAATAGGAAAATAGTAGGAATGAATTTCCTCTCTCTTTCATTCATTATTTCATGGAACAAAACACATAAGACGTGCTGGACTCATACCCAATGGTCACACTAACCTGTGTGGGAATAGATATACCACAAGGCGCCCGTCAGGAGTGCTCCAATCACAAATGCTGCAAACGCAATGCCCATCACAGTGAGGGTGTCCAGACCGTGGAAAATTGCTATAAAGGAGGGAAATCAATACATACAACTTTTCAGTTAGTCAGTATCACACATTGCAATTTTATATTTGTTTCACAAGCATGATCATAAAGGCTGAGCACTGACTAATAAAATCTGAGAATGGAGTGGGCATTCCAGTAAAATACAGTGTGTTTGTAACTTGCAAATTTTTTTCTCAAGAGAAAAATGAAATTGTCAGGTTTCCAGGATGTTCTCAGTTTGCAATTGACTCTGAGCAACAAACAAATAAAAAATCAGATTTACAAACTCTATAAAACCTTAAGTCTGTGGTCTCATTGTCTCAATCTGAGGTGTTACTATTTGAAGGGAGGGTTGAAAATTCACAGGTTCAGATGCTTTGATGCTGGGCACAGTGGATCACGCCTGTAATCCCAGCACTTTGGAGGGTGGAGGTGAGAGGATTGCCTGAGCCATGGGTTCAAGACCAGCCTGGGCTACATGGCGAGACCTCGTTTCTACAATAAATCAAAAAATTAGCCGGGCATGGTGGTGCATTCCTGTAATTCCAGCTACTTGGAAGGTCTGAGGCAGAAGGATTGCCTGATCCCAGCAGGTCAAGGCTGCAGTGGCTGTGAGTGTGCCACTGCACTCCAGCCTGGGCAGCAGAGTGAGACTCCAACTCAAAAAAAAAAAAAAAATTCTTGGGAAAATAAGAAGAATGTCCATGATCAGAACCTGACTCATTACTTCTTACTCATTTGAATTCCTCCAACAAGGAGGCATTGCACAGAAAACACACACCTTAGAATACTTTATAAACATATTTTCTTTTTTTTTTAGTGCAGAAGCAATGTGTGTATAAACATATTTTCATGAACGTTGACAAGTACAAAAGATAACAGGAAGAGTGGGAAAGAGAAAACAGAATAAAAATAAACGATTCCTGCAGATTATAACGTTTCGCTGATCTCCTCATATTAAGCCCTCCATCTCAACAACTATATATTGTGTCATTTAAAGCGGCCTACTTTTTAACACGTTTCCAACCAAGATCTTTCTGTGAGGGGAACGGAAATACTTCCCAGTGGGGAGTGATGTCAATTTTATGGTCAGCAAAACATATAAATAGAATCAATTGTTCCTCCATTTGGCAAAGATTTTCATATTTGAAATTAATTCCAGGCCACAGAAATAGAACATTTCCTTTCATTTAAGAGAACTACCTTCTTTGAGTCACTTATAAAAAGTTAAAATTGGTTTCCAAGGGAGAGGGCTTTTGGTAGAATAAAATTTCTAAGGTCTCTGTGTTTTGAATATAAATGGAAGATACAGGACCTCCTCACTATTTCAGTACTATTTGTAACTTTCCACTCCAGTTAGAAGCAGCTCCAGTGATCTCTATATAAATCAAATCTCTTTGTCTTTCAACTCACTTCAGTTTAAAAGATTATAGACACATGTGATCCTTGAGCAGCCCCGGCACTCCAAAGAATGTCATGGTGGAAAAGCATCTGGAAGAATCCAAACTCCCAAGCTCTGGTCCCCACCCTTCCAGTCCCGTGCCCTTTGGCGTGTTCATTTAACTCCTACAAAATGAGGATAACACTACTTCACCCACCCAAGGCAGGGGGTGAACACATGAATTTGTAAAAAGGCCGACAACCCACTAGATGACATAAGAACTGAGACGAGCTCTCTGGAGATTACGCTGAACCAAGTCATTATTCTGTTTAGTTTAATCTTGTGCGTAGGACAGATATTAAAAGACAACTTGGCTTTTTATGCCTACAGATGCAAAAATTGGGCACGATTACAGGTTTTTAGTGAAACTACTCAAACATTTCAAAGATAAAGATGTCATTTATGAAAATCAGACTAGGTAAGTGTGAGGGATTGTGTCTCTCTCTTTTATGCGTGTGTGTTTCTGCATTTATGATATTGTTCCATAATCTTTCAAAAAACAATCTAAGAGAATGGTTTATGAGGTGTTTTGCTAAAGGAATTCTACAGACTGTTTGTTACGTGCATGTGATAGAGTCAGCTATGGAGATTAATCCTGGGAGACTTAAGAGAAAGAAAAAAAAGCACAGATTCTCTTCACAAGACAGCATCATCTAGAAGTGCTCTGAGTAGACAGCCATGAAGCCCATGTTCAAGTCCTGCCTCCATGCCAGTGAGGCAGGAATATTTCTGGGTCAGCGTTTTCTTCCATACAAAACAATGAAATTGGCTTAGACAATCTCCAACTCATCATTCTGAAGTAATTGATGTTGCTTTCTCTTTTTTTCTTAAATGCCCCCCTTCCCTTTAGTCCTTGGACTAGACATTGTCTCGAAGGCATAGCAATTGAGTTTCCTTAGTTCTCCGTCTCTGAGCAGATTAACACTGTTGAGACTTCAATTAAACCATCCCCACAGCTGTATGGTAATGCACAACAGATGCGCATTATTGATATATGGTAATATCACAAGATATAAGCATGCAAATCATGAACTTACCTCTCCAAAACTAAGTTTAAGTTACTACCCTCCCATTCAAGTCATATATGCCAATGGCTTAGCAAATTAATATTTTTTAAATGGCAATGGTGGGAGGGAGAAAAGAAAGGAGTACAAACGAAAGAAAAAAATGTATGAGAAAAAAGAGGAAAGGGGACAAGGGAATGAGAGCAGAAGTCTCCTTATCAAGACTCAAAGCCTGGCAACTGCTCACTAGCCAACTCATTCTTATGAAAACCCAGGAGGTTTTATTTCGAAATAGTTGCATAAAGACTTACGTGGAGAAATTGGATTCGGTTCCTTAACGCTTGGACCTTTAGCTGAAACAAAAACATAAATCACAATGTATTCCATGGAGAACCAAGATTTAGGCAAAGGGTCATCAAAATCTCAGCAGAAGCTGACACTTTTCTGTTGAACTTTCCTTGTGAAAGCTCTGTCAATGGTGCTCTTTAGATATTAAAATTATCTAATTAAAATTCAATATTAAAATTTTTAGATATAAAAATTCATATACCATGAATTACCCAGGAATGATAAGCACGTTGTTCATTATCAATTGTATAGGTTCTTTCATTTGAAGAAAATCCGAAGGAAAACACCCAAACTTAGGGAATCTGAGGCTGATCCTTCGTGTGTGTCTACTTTTATATGTACTTACAAAAAGAGTCAGTATCTTTTTTTTTTTTGAGTTGGAGTCTCACTCTGTCGCCCAGACTGGAGTGCAGTGGCTGCTCCCGGCCACCGCAGCCTCACCTGCTGGGCTCCAGCAATCCTTCTGCCTCAGCCTTCCGAGTAGCCGGAATTACAGGCGCGCGCTACCACGCCTGGCTGATTTTTTGATTTATTGTAGAGATGAGGTCTTGCTGCCCAGTCGGGTCTCGAACCCGCGAGCTCAGGCCATCCACTCACCTCAGCCTCCCAAAGTCGCAGGATTACAGTATCTTTTTTTTTTTGAGTTGGAGTCTTACTCTGTCGCTCAGGTTGGCGTGCAGTGGCATACTCATGGCCACCACAGCCTCAACCTGCCGGGCTCAGATGATCCTTCCGCTTCAGCCTTCCAAGTAGCTGGAATTACAGGCGTGAGCCACCATGCCCAGCTAACTTTTTGATTTATTGTAGAGACGAGGTCTCACCACGTTGCCCAGGCTGGTCTCGAACCCTGGGGCTCAGGCAATCTTCTCACCTCTGCCTCCCAAAGTGCTGGGATTATAGGCATGAGCCACCACACCCGGCCGAGCCAATACCTTTAAATACTATGCTTTTCCAGTGTAGGTGTGATCTCATTCTGCTTGTAATTGATGTGCAAGCTTTGTAACAGTATCTTTATTCTTCTATCCTTAATGCTACCATCCTAGAGTGCAGCTCCTCCTCCTTGCTCACTGTGTTATCACAGAGGCCCCTTGTCTCCATGCTACCTTCCTCCCAAATACTGCTCCTCCACATTTGTCCCCAGAGTGAGTATTCCAGATCCCAGAGCTGACCACGTTACAGCCCTGATGAAATCCCTTAATGATTCCCCTTGGCTTCTAGGGAAAACAATCCAAACTCTTTAGCACGACCCATACATTCTCCCTTTCGTCTCTACCCTCCTCTCCAGCCTCTTTTCCTGACAGGGTCCTTCACCCAGGGTGGGCTCTTCAGAATTAGTGATTAAAGTTTCCCAAACGCTCCATGCTGTTCCATGTCACTACGCTTAGCCAGCCCTGAAACACCCTCTCCCCAGGCCTGCTTGGTCTGCATCTTTGCTGGGAGTTCTTCCCTGACTCCCTCACGGCCCCTTTTCCACTTTTAACTCATGCCACCCCTCCTGTGTCACACTTGTGCCACACCACCTGGTAATTTTCTCTTTTTCTCTCTTTCTTTAGGGTAACCTCCAGTTCTTACTCATCTGTAGATCCTTAGGGCCCACACTAGCATAGAATAGGCCTTTTAGAAATGTCTGGTGGCTGGGTGTGGTGGCTCTCAACTGTAATTCTAGCTCTTTGGAAGTCAAGGCAGGAAGATCGCTTGAGGCCAGGAGTTTGAGACCAGCCTGGGCAACATATCGAGACCCTGTCTCTATGACACGTTTTAAAAGAAATTTAGCTGGGCATAGTGGCCCATGCCTGTAGACCCAGCTACTCAAGAGGTTGAGTGGGAGGATCTCTTGAACCCAGGAGGGAGGCGACAGTGAGCTATGACTGCACCACTGCACTCCAGTCGGGGAGACAAAGCAAGACCCTGTCTCAAGAAAAAAATTTGTTTGGTGAAGGATGATTAGAACGTTGATGTACTTTTTGAAAACAGTGGTGGCTCATGCCTGTAATCCCAGCACTTTGGGAGGTGGAGGTGAGAGGATTGGCTGAGTCCAAGGGTTCAAGATCAGCCTGGACAACTTGGCAAGACCTTGTCTCTATAACAAATCAAAAAATTAGCTGGGCATGGTGGCACATGCCTGTAACTCCAGCTACTTGGAAGGCTGAGGTGGAAGGATTGCCGGAGCCCAGCAGGTCAAGGCTGCGGGGGCCTGGGTGACAGAGTGAGACTCTAACTCAAAAGAAAAAAAAAAAAGAAAAGAAAATGGAGGCAACTGAGGAAAGGAAGAATAGGACTATGTAAATGCTTTATGTGTCTCTATTTCCATAATGCTGTCATGTTCATAAGTGCCACACAGCCCAAATCTCATTTGAGGCTCACACCCGTGCTATGAGGAAGGCACAGAGAATTTTTATCACTATTTTAGAAATGATCAGCCTGAGACTCTGATATCATGTGATTCGCCCAAGGTCACAGCTGGAAAGCATCAGGGCAGATGCTGAACCAGAATTCCAGATTTCTGCTTGGCAGGCTACATGATGGGGTAGCTGCTGTCCTGAGCTGGAGCAGCAACTACTAGGCTAGGCGCGGGGGCTCACGCCTGTAATCCCAGCACTTTGGGAGGTGGAGGCGAGAGAATTGCCTGAATCCAGGGGCTCAAGACCAGCCTAGGCAACATGGCAAGACTTTGTCTCTAAAATAAAGAAAAAATTAGCCGGGTGTGATAGCACATGCCTGTGGTTCCAGCTACTTGGGAAGCTGAAGCAGAAGGAATGCCTGAGCCCAGCAGGTCGAGGCTATGGTGGCTATGATCGTGCCACTGCACTCTAGCCTGGGTGACAGAATAAGACTCCGACTCAAAAAAAAAAAAAAAAAAAAGAGCTACTTGTACATACCCACTGTTTGTCCTCAACAAGTGAGACCAAGGCTAGTAGAGTTCAGGGGTTAGGAGACTTCAGCCCTCCACTTATTTTTATATGGACCATGATGAGCTAAGAACGGATTTTATATTTTGAAACAATTGTTTTAAAATCAAAGAAGGATATTTTATGACATGTGAAAATTACGTGAAATTCAAATTTACTCCATAAATGAAGCTTTATGCGAACACAGCCATTTACATACTGTCCATGGCGGCTTTCACACTACCACAGTGGCATTGAATCATTGAGACTAGGACCATATGGGCTACAAACCAAAAATATTCACCATCTGGCCCTTTATAGAAAAAGTGTGCTAAGCCCTGCAACAGAGGGTATCCTGACTCTTTGGAGTTTAGAAGTGATATGTGTTTATAGCGATCTTTTCCTTTTTTCTTTTTTTTTGAGTTGGAGTCTCACTCTGTTGCCCAGGCTGTAGTGCAGTGGCATGCTCACAGCCACCCCAGTGTCAACCTGCTGGGCTCTGGCAATCCTTCCACCTCAGCCTTTCAAGTAACTGGAACTACAGGTGTGCACTACCATGCCCAGCTAATTTTTGATTTATTGTAGAGGCAAGGTCTTGCCAAGTTGCCTGGGCTGGTCTTGAACCCGTGAACTCAGGCAATCCACTCTCCTTGGCCTCCCAAAATGCTGGGATTACAGGCTGAGCCACCAAGCCCGGCCACAGCTCTCTTTTCATCTCTTTTTCATTCAGCAAAGAATGAACACACATTGGGCATGGTGGCTCACACCTATAATCCAAGCACTTTGGGAGGCAGAGGTAAGAGGATTGTCTGAGTCCAGGGGTTCAAGACCAGCCTGGGCAACTTGGCGAGACCTCATCTCCACAATAAATAAAAACAACTCGCCAGATGTGGTGGCTCACGCCTATGGTTCCAGCTACTTGGAAGGCTGAGATGGAAGGATCACCTGAGCTCAGCAGGTTGAGGCTGCAGTGGTGGCCGTTAGCATGCCTGGCCTTGGCAGTAGAGTGAGACCCTCTACCCCCCCCCAAAAAAAGAATGAACACAAATCTCAGGTTTAGATTCACAGTGAAGTACAAAGAACTTGTGAAAATTTGACCAAAACAAGCAGCATCTGAGTTGATAGTTACAAAAATAAAGAAGCTAGACAAGATGAAAGAAGACAGCACTGTAAATTCTTGGGATTCACTCTCAACATTCTTGTAGCGGAGTTACCAAGGGTCCAGCTCCAGGGAAAGGAATGCCACTGGAGGGGTCAGAGCCACTATAATGGAATGGTGCCGCCTGGAGTTGTGTAACATTCTGGCCCCAGGAAGAGGCTATATATACAAATGTTATACTTCAATAAAATTACTAGGAAAATTAAAACGTAGGAATGTTTTTCAGAAAATCTAACTCAGTAGGCAGAACACACGCTAACAAACAACAAAATGCACCCTCCCTGGGGTTTTGGTCCTATCCGCCTCAATGGCAGCAACAATGGTGACGCCATACATTTGTACCTCTGTATAGTGTTTAACAATGGCCAAAAAGTCTTTATTTATATTATCTCATTTTTAATTCCCAAGAACCCTATGAAGGAGGGATAGCTAACCACAAACTGCTCCCACTTGCAAGAAGCATTAGTTTGATCCACTGAACTAAGTCCAAAGGCATTTAAAGGTCGCTACAATGTGCATCATGTGAGTAACATACACACTTCTGGGACGAGTTCCATCCAATCAACCGCCCGTGGTTAAACTCTGTCACCTGGCATCCTCAAGCAGTTTAAAAATAATGATTCTCTCCTAAGGAGACCTCCCATGTAAGAGTTTAGGTTTTAGAGTAAGGCCTGTGTGATGGCTGGCATTGTTTTACGATTCTTAACGGACTTATGTTATGATCTAATCCTCGACTCCCCCCACCCCCCACGGAGGGACCATCTTACAGAGCTAAGCAAAGCCAGCCGTGCTCACCTCCCCCCCCCCCGGGTGACGATCCTGCATGAGTCCTGTGGTCACACAGTCACACACACAGGCTGTAGCACTGAGGATGAAGACTTTTGCCCTCTAGCTTTTCTGTTCCCAGATCCCAGTATATAACTAACATCATTTGATCTCCACTGGAACCCATCCTCAA